TTTTTTCCCCTCCTTTCCTCTTTAGGGGTTCATTTATCAAGACTATAAGCCTGTGTTCTGGTCTCCTTCAACGAAGTAAGAATCAACTTACTGTTTTGTCCTCAGATTTAACAAGGACATTAATAGCTTTTCATGTTCAAGTTTGTTAACCTACGTTTCATATCCCAGAACAGCCTTGGCTGAAGCAGAGCTTGAATACAACGAGCAGCATGTCAGTCGTTCGGTGTATATGAAATTTCCCCTGTTAAAGTCACCGCCTAAGCTGGCTTCTGTGATAGGTATGACTTCTGTATAGACTTTGAGACAGACAGCTTTTACTGTTGTTATAATTGCAAGTAAACTATTTCTGATTTATGTCTGTAGATGGGTCATCCCCTGCTAGTGTGCTCATCTGGACCACGCAGCCTTGGACTGTGCCAGCCAATCAAGCAGTCTGCTACATGCCAGATTCAGCGTAGGTGTCTTTAACGGGGTTCGGCAATCTACGTCGGTCCTTATCAATTTTTGTCGGCCAAGTTAAAACATTCTGGGCTACCGTTGCATTTTATTTAAGGCATCTTTTAGGTGTGGTTTGGTGGGTGTTTTTAAGTGGCACAGTTGTAAGCTTTGTTCTCTCAATTTATGAATTTTCACTTTAATTTTTATTTTTCATTTCATCTGTGAATGACTGTGACGTCATTTCATCTTCCTGACGTCACGTTATCTCGAAACTCTTTCGAGATTGAAGTGTGAGTTGGACGTGTAGATCGTAAAACCGGTTTTCCTGTCTTAGAGATGGAGCGTTTAATGTGTAGTGTGTGGTGGTTGCTGTTATTCAGTCTCAGCAGTGTATGGTCGTTGTTGTTACTCCGTCTCACCAGTACGTATTTGCATTGTAGATACTCCGTTGTGAAGTGTGCGGCTACTGGCGAACGCTTCATTCTAGCTGCAGATAGAGTTGAATCTACCGCTGCTGTTTTGGACACGCAGTTTGAGGTGATGTCAACGTGTAAAGGTAGGTTTTCAAATCAGAAGTTGCTTGTAGGTGTCTGAAAACTACTTCAGTTTTAATGTGTTATTAAGCTTGTTTATGTTTTGAGAACGTGCTCCACTAGAATAATACAAGGAGGAGTAGTGGTCTGTCAGATCTAGTGTTGGTGTGTTGTAGCTCGAACTTTCATCCAGAGATTTCAAAGTGCTTTTTAAAATCTGGATTTGCACTTGGAAAATGTAAACATGGAGTGGAATTCTGGTCAGTGTCAAAATCTTAATTACACTGAATGCCATTTGCCTGTTGTTCTCATCTATTGCTGATGATAGCAGGGGGCTAATTACAAGTAGGCTTGCTTGCTGACTGCCTGATTGCTAAATTTTATGACAACTAGTGAAATTACCTAGTGTAGCAGAACCAGCAGCACTGTCAGCCGTTGTGGTTGCGTTACTTTTCAGGTTCTTTGTTGTTATGAGGTCTCTTCATCCTTCACAGTGACCTTGGAGACTATAGAGATGTTGTAGGTGACTGTTGTCCGTGTGGAGAAACGGAACCAGTTCAGTTTGCATCCTAACAAACTCCATAGGGATATTTCTAATAGGTGGATTTCCAGGGAAAAAAAAACTTATTCACTTTTCTGCTTAATTGTTTTTACCTAATGATGAAATTACCTGGGAGTGGTGTTCTCACAAGTGCCACCTTCTTGAAGCACATGATTTGCCGATGGCAAACAAGGGTGGAGCTGGACCTTCTTGGAGAGAAATTTAATATTAAGCCTGATCTTTTTATCTTCCCACATGTTCAGTCATGAGTTAAATTTGGTACCTTTCTGTATTTGTGTACCTGTGACAGCAGTTTCTAAACATGTTCCTTCTAGGAAGGAAACGTTCGGGGAAGGCCGTTTTGTCACATGAAGCATTCCTCAAGCTCTGTGATTCTTGACTTTCAGTCAAAAATTCTTCAGTGTTTTTTGTTTGTTTTGGGTTTGGTTTTTTTTTTAACCTTAATTTGTCATTAGCTTCATTTGTGCTGTACTCTCTTTATTTGTATGTAATTTAGGGAATTTAAATTAATTGCTCATGATACTATTAGTACTTAGGGGCAGAACTGAGGATAGATCCCAGATTCAAGAGTTCTCACTAAGTCTTACTGAGATCTGTTTCTGGAACACCAAGATAGTAGTCCCGAGGAATGGGAATGTGTGGAATGTCACTCCTAACAGAATACCATCTTGTTAAGGTAGAAGAAAAGGTTTTTCTTTAAAGTTATAAACAACCAAAACCATGTGGAAGATTAACGATGCAGAGAACTTGAAGGCATTAAGGCAGGGACCCGCAGACAAGATAGAGCAGTAGTACATCTGAACAGCGCCCTGGGCATACGCTTGCCCATCGGTTGTTCCATTTCTGCTCTCTGATAAAAGACGCTGAGTGTGTGAATTGTTTCTCTATTTTTTGTCTTCTGTTTTGTTTGTTTTCCAACCCCAGGTGTAGATTTGGCAGATGGTTCTTGTGCTCATCCCACAATTCCTGGCAGAGTCTCTCCTCTGTTACCTGCAAATCATGTGACGATGGCAAAAGGAACAGGGTTAGTCCATACAGCCCCAGCTCACGGTATGGAAGACTACAGCGTAGCTTCCCACCACCAGCTACCCACGGTACTTTATTTTTTCAGCTGTTGCTCTTGATTTCCTGCAACTGTTTGATCACATGCCACTACAGTGGTGGGTGTAATTTGTGCATAAGACATGAGAACGTTTTGAAGTGTTCGGAGAAGTGCAAGTGTCACTAACGGCCTGCGGGAACACAGGACTCGCTTGAAAAAAGTGTGTATCAGAATACAAGGGTGAAGCTTTCCGTCCTTCTGCTAGTTAAAGATTATGGGGGAGTGGCAGGATAGAACCAGATTTCTCTCTGTGGTTTTGGTTTTGAAAGGGTAACACATCCCAACTCTGAGACAGTGGCTCTTGGTACTCAGGACTGGCTTTTAAAGCTGTATCTTGCAGACCAGTAAATCACTCGTTAGGCAGGTCATTATTACTGTCCTTTTTCAGCGGTTTGTTGGGAGCACATACATAAATACAGTTCAGTTATGCATGAGCAGTTTGTGTTTGATGGAAATGAAGATGCAGGGTGTTCTTTCACCTTTTTAAAAAGCTGACTCTTGAGATGTTCCAAAACCTGATTATACTCCTGTTTCTGGTTGTTTTTTTTCGAGGGTAGGGTTTTTCTTGGGGCTTCATTTGTTTATTTTCTTTTGGTTTTCACTGTTAATTTGGAAAAGTCATTGAAATACATCAACACACTAGTTAGTAAGACGGTTGTGGTGTATCTGCAGGCATAGTAGTGCTCATATAAAAATCCACTTGCCTGCTGGGTGACTGAATTGCAGTTTGCGTAAACCTGAAGTGTCCTTAAATTTAACATACTTTGCAGTTTGTCAGAAAAATATTTACTCAGCAGAATACTTAACTCACTTTTGAATACCAAAAAGGTAATTAATTGCCACGTGGTATCTTATTGACATGACTAACACCTTTATTTTAAGGATTGCCTTGTGGATGAAGGTGGTTTTTTTACTGAAGCTGCAGGTCCCGAATTACAAAACAAGAATGTCCTTGAAGAAGGGAATGAAGCTGGTGAGTATTTGATGTTTAGCCACTTGTTACTTTATCAGTTACATTCCTGCAGGTTTATTTTGGGGGTTCATGTAAACGGAGCACAGTTTGAATTTGGATGAGCTACAGGGAGTTCTTATTACGTGTTGGTCACGGAAAGGAATGAGTTGAGGCTAAAAGTAGCAGTATGTTCAAATCAGATTTTAATCTTGCCTCATTTTTCCCTCTCAGTCATTCAGATGCTTCAAGCAGCTGGGAGTTTGTTAAAAGAGGAGAAATACGTGCACAGTTACCCGTATGACTGGAGGACTAAAAAACCAATGATTATTCGTGCCAGCAAGCAGTGGTTTGTAAACACAGCAAGTGTGAAGGCTGCAGCACAGGTATATTGTTTTGCTTTCTTACAGGACTTTGAAGGTGGCAACAGCTGTCTTGAAGTCAGCAAAACTGACTCTCTGTGGCTCACTCCAGCATATATTCCTCTCTGGGGTTTACAAAAGTTAATGCTCTTCACCTTTGTAGAAGTGATGAATGTTGTTGGTTTTTTTGTCATTATTGATATGATCCAGTATAAATACACTGACTGACATATCTTTTCATTGTATTTATGGGAGATATATAAGTTTCTTAGAGCTACTGAATTTTTTTCCCCAAAATATTTTTAAAAGTACAATGTTTCAAGGAATAAAATCAGAAGAGGTGATTTTAACGCTATTAAAATGACCTGTGTTGTCATGGTAGCCTTGTGTGGCCAGACATCTTTGCTCCCCTATTTGTTTTGCCACAGTCCTATTTTAAATAACTTGTAAGCATCTATTGTTTCTAAATGCAGCGCTCTTTGAAATGACACACATCCACACAGAAAACTCAGACCGGCACTCAGCCTGTCTTGGGTGACAGTGATTTCATTCTAATTAGGGCACGAGGTGTTCATTCCGTATTCCATCTTTATCTAGGATGAAGGAAGACAGGGGGGTTGTTCGGCGGGGTTGGGAGCGAGCGGTAACCCGCGCTCTCTAACCCAGGCGGTACGTACCAAGGTGTGGTTTCCAAGCAGACAGTAGCACAAGGCACACTGAGCTGTTAAACCTCTGGCAGAGGTACTGGTGCCATGTCTGACTGGCTTCAGGGTGCGTCTGCTAGAGGGTCAGAGCCGGCGAAAAGGCACCGGGATGCGTCTGGTGTAGGCAGCGTTCTCAGCATGCTCCTCAAGAGCAGCATGTGCTGAATTGAACAAAGGGAATGTGACAGTTGCTCGAGGACACGTTATTCGGTGCTGGGAGTGTAGACCTGTGCCTTTTCTTCCCGGCAGCATAAGCAGTGTTTGAATGCTGAAGCATGTTCAACAATTCCCTGTGTGCTTTATAGGAAGTGCTGAAAAAAGTGAAAGTTATTCCTACATCTGCAGTGAACAGAATGCTCGAAATGCTGGACAGAAGGACGTTTTGGTGTATATCACGGCAAAGATGTTGGGGTGTTCCGATTCCTGTTTTTTACCAGAAGAACACGGGAGAATGCTTGATAAACAGGTATTTGTCTAGCTTTATATGCTGAAAAATGATAGGATGAGCACTGACTGTTGTGCTTCAGTTACACGGTATTATGAATCTTCCAGCCATGTAAGTACAAATACGTGCTTTGGCTTATAATTGTGCATTCACAGAATTAGTTCAGCTCTAAGTTAAAACTGTCAAAAGCTCGTTGCTGAAGGTGACTTTTATTTAAGTGGTGGGAATCCATTTACTGAGATAAGTTACCTCAATGTCCCCTTGGCAGCAGTAGGTGATTTCATCCCTCATCTTCAGGTTAAGTGAGCTCGCTGCCCTTTACGTTTAAGCAAGGAGTGAAACGCAAGCCCCAGTCAGAACAGACTGGGACTTTAGTTGTCGCGCTGTAGATTGAACAGCACGGGTGTTTTGTCAAGATAGCTTTTTGCGGTTAAGTGACAATGAGGCGTCTGAAGTGGAGTGGCCGTGTCGGTGGCAGAATAACTAACTGCTCAGGATAAAATGAGGGTGTATTTGAAGAGCCAGTGTCACTCTGTAGGTGAGTGACCTTCAGCTGCAGGGCTGGGCGTGTCTAAAGCGTCAGATGCTGGCCTTACTCGGCCCTCTCTTGGTTAATAGCATCCAGGTACTGCAAACGCTGCATTTCAGGAATTCCAGACAATGTGATGCAGAGAAAATCCAAGCTATGCTTTAAAACAAGAAAACTCAACTAAGTATGATCCTTTTCTGTCTTTTAAGGAGTAAGAGAGTCCTGCTTTTACCCCCTTGGGGAATAGAGGTTTTAAATTGTGAATATCCCCTGAGAGATGATTTCATAAATTGTGGAGTGGTGTGGAGTTCCACATTCATTGTTTATTCCATACTTGTTTTCTGCCTTGAGGTACGCTGGTGTAACTCCGCCTTACACATCTTAACCTTACAACCGCTTGTCCAAATTCATTATGGATAATAAGATTGCGCAGCTAGAGGTGAACTTCCATGGCGTTGCAGGAATTTTTTATGCTGGCGTGGAATAGGGACGCTGCGGAGAGCTCAGCGTGTTTTCCAGGGGCTGGACTGGGCGTGTGAGCACAGTAGGTGAGGCTTAGGGTGTGGAGAGCAGGGACTGGACTTTAGGCAGCTAGTGCTTAGCTTCACCTAGAGTGACTGGGCGTGTAGGTGCACAGACCTGTACTTTGTCACTCTCACAGTGGGCAGGAACTGTGAGAAAAGGCCGCAGTACCCATAGTAGTTTATGGTGTCGGAATAACACTGATGCACGTCAGGAAATAAACGGATGAAGGCTCTGTGGGGTGCAAAATCATTTTACCTGCAAAAATCGTTGCTGTATTTAAAAAGTAAGTGTATGTTCACGTTTAAAAAAAAAATCACAGTTTCTGGGTAATGCTTACTGTAGTCTATCCGCAGAGTAGGTTGGAGTGTGTTACTTGTGCTTGCTCCAGATCGTTAAATATGCAGTTTAACAACAAAACAAGAGTGTAGTGAAAGCCAGTGACCTGTGTTAAAAAGCACGTCTTTTGTAAGTGTTTGAGCTGTGTGAGATCAGTGCCAGGGTTGTACAGCATGTGGCCATTGATGTGCTAAACTCTCCAACAACTCGACCTGTGTGTGCAGGTACTGGCCCAGCAGTCGCACGTGTTTCAGGGTGGATTTGGCAGTCCTGGGTTAACGATTGGACTGGGTGATCTTAAAGGTCTTTTCCAACCTAAAAGATCCTTATGATTCCATGTAGGTGAATGAGTGAAGGGGCAGTATGGCATGTTTGGTTAAAATTGATCTGGGGGGGGGGGAAAGAGATTTAGAAAGGAAAAAAAAAAGAAAGGATGTATCCAATATGCTTGAAAAGTAAATTTATTTCCTTTGACTGAAAGATTCTGATGGTCACTTACAGTCAGTACTCTTTAGTTCTAACATATTTTACCGTAGAGGTGAAATTTTCAAAGAAAAGTGTAAAACACTCATTAAATACTTAAAGTTAGCCAGAGCAGACTTCTGTAACCAGCGTAGGAAAAGTGCACAGAATATTGGCCTATAGAAATGACAGGCAAATTTAGAAAGCAGTCTGTCAATTCATAGGTCATTTTCCTGGACACCAGTTCATACTGAAATAAACAGCTAAGCCTAAATATTTGGTTTCATTTGCATTATCATTTTGAAAATCACATCACAGTAGGCTGCTGACGTGTTTCTAACACTTAAGCAGTTTCATATTCAGATTGAGTGAACAATTAGTATCAGTAGAACAGCAGGTAAATAACTTACATTTCCAAATAAAAGCTGTTATCTTGAACGCTGGATAAACATGCTTCCGGTAGCAGCTGCTTCGGAGTTTTGAAGTGGCTATCAAAAGTAACAGCATCTCCACTGGAAGTCAGAGTAGTCCACATGGAGTTGCTGTTACATGTGAGAGCACCAGTGGTCAATCTTGAGTGATCCTGTTCACCTGTCACCTGTAAAAAGACTTTTTAAAGAGGAACCAACCTCCCTAAAATAAACTGCTGTGTTTCCCTCTGTGAGTTTCCCCTGAATTTGTCATGTGAAGAGCTGCGGAAAGCTTCTCTGTCAAGATGCATCTGCTCATCTCTAAAAGAGTTACCTTCTCACACTGACCATCCCGTCTCTCTATCTTGAAAGCCAAGAGCAGGACTGTCATCTTGTATGCAGCCAGTTTGCTACAGGATCCCCAGGAGCCTTCCTGTTCCCTGCTGTGCCCCCCCATAGCCCCAAGAGACATCTGATTGTATGACACGGTTGTCTGTGGTTTTAAATCCAGTATGCTACTGGTGATTAAATTCTTTGAGTATAGCACATTGTATTGTGATCAGAAATTTAAAAATATATGTAAAATAACGAAACCCGATATAAGAGAGACAGAAAAGAGAACGTGTTTTCAGTGAGAATATGGAGGTAAGATTCTGTGCGATTTTTCTGCAAGAGTGGAGAAAGAAGACTTTAGAATACTTGCACAAATAAAGGCTTTTGCTGTTTGTCAAATTTCAAAGCTTAACAGATTTTGAGAGAAGACATTCTGATTCTAGGAAATTCTGTAACTCATGGAAGAGAAGAGAGAAAGAGCTGCAAAAATAAAATGAGATTTATATTTCCAGTAGTAGCTCAGAGCAGGTGATAAATGTGAGATACATACTTTAATCTGACCTCATGCAATAACTTATTTACAAATTCACAAATAACCTGGCAATGACAATATTGGCAGCGACATTGCGAAGATTACCCCAGTGCCTGAGAACTTTTGTTCCCTTCCCTGTGACGCTGATTAGCAAGTAACTTACATTTCTGACAGAGAAAACCCCAACCCGTTCTTGAAGTAGATCTACCCTGCACTCTAATTTGCTTTTTAAAATAATAAGACATTTCAATGACTTGTAAGCAACAGCAATTTACCGTAACCTAAATACTTACTGCTGCAGTAGCAATGTTCATGTAAAAAAGCAGATAACTTGCCCTCTTTACCGCCGTTTGAAAAGGGGACGAGAGAACATCAGGCGCTGTATTCTTCTCCTCCCGACTCTATGCTGCCTAATTTCTGTTAACAGATTAAATAAGTGTTCAGCATAATCAATATCAGACTTCAGAGTGATTGGCTGGTGTCGTGGTAGCGTGAATTGCTGTAGGGGTTTCGGCGTTAAAACGTAGCGAGCGACACGTAATGCAAGTTCGTCTAGATAGTGCATGAATACAGGGCAAAGTTTTACAATGGTGTTTATTGCTAACTCGGTGGATTATCATGCTCACATTCAAGCCCTCAGATTGTAAAGTGATGAGTAGTTATTTGAGAAAGGTGGTTTTTACTTGCACCTTACATAAAAGTACTTTGTAAAAATCTTCCTCCTTTCGGTACAGAGCCCTTAATACAGTAAATATTCTCTCTCTGGTCATAGGGACCCTGGGATGAGATTAGAAAAACGGGGTTTTGTTTGTTTGTCTTGGGTTTTTCAAACTGTAGGAGGAGAAACTATTTGGTGAAGTGGTGCCCTGGAAACCTTTGGTCTTAACTACCTCCTCCTGTATACTACTTAAGACTGCTAATGTTCACTTATGTTCTGTGGGGAAACGGAAGATAATGACAAAAGCTTGCATTGGTAAAATGTTGGGTTTTTACTTGGTTTGAAACTGCGGTAGGATTTTGAGTATATTGGTCAATAATAAGTTGACTTCACAGTCACTGACTTTTTATTCCTTGTATGTGATTCATAACTCAAATCTGACCTTCTTTTAGTTGTCTGAAATCTTTGGTCTGTAGCGTAATCATATCTGTTAGTTCACCTGTCACTAAAATGTGTCTAAAATAATTCTGCCCTTCATAAAGTAAGGGCACACGCCTTTGTGGTGCATAGCAATAGGCTTGGCAGAAGGCTACTCTGAGGTTTTGCGGCCAGGTGCATCTGCAGTGGCAGGGAGCTGTTGTGAGGCCCTGGCAGCACGCGCAGTAAATGAAGGCAGTCGTTTTATGATGGTTTCCCGAGGGAGACCGATAGCAAGGCTTCATTTCCTCCCTGTCCCTCCCCCTGCCTCCGATGGGACGGAGAACAGTTCATCCCGACTACGCATGCTGCAGTTTGCACTGACAACAGTGTTTCAGGTGTCCCCTCGCTTTTAATTTCTCCAAATATTTGCCTGTTAGGCCTGACCTTCAGCACCGCCTCCTCCGCTGAGGAGAGATGGCGTCGCAATTAACGGTTGCAGCGTCAGAAAACTGGTGGCTCTTCAGGCCGTGTCTCCTTTGCTCACGGCTTAGAACATCTGACAAAATAAGATTTTTGCTGTTGGGGAAGTTGCTGGAAAACATTGTTTGTTAAGAGTACGTTCCTAGGTTGGCTGTCAGTTTTGGTCTGTAGCTGGATTTACCCCCTCTTAAAAATCCCTACAAACATCGATGTCATCAAACACCTGTTGAATGCTTTAAAAATGTATAGGTTGAAAACCATTTAGGTTAAATTTAGGTCCTTCCGCTGAAGGGCGTTTGCAATACGGAAAAGTTACGTGGAAGTCAGGCTTAGTTC